AAAAAAAAAAAAAAGAAAAAAAAAAAGAAAAGAAAATTCCAGAATGAAAGAGTTAAAAGAAAAAGAAGAGACAATGAACGAACGAATGAATCACCTACTCACCTTGTGCGTAGAATCAAAAACGATCTCTGTCCGAAAGTCCTCCGTTAATTCGTACAATTCCTCATCTCGCGGCTGTCTTTTCGTTTTTTTCCCCAATTTCCAAACATCCACGTTCGTTGCACCACGATCCTTCGTGAGCCGCGAGATGCTCGAAGAATGACGCGCGAGACGAGATGTCTGTTTTCAGGAACTATTCTGGAAATCGGTTGCCGATCGTGGCACGTTCTCGAGAGGGAGTAAGTCCTGAGGACGCGGATGGCTCCTACTTATAAAGACTTGGCCAAGTCTTGGCTCTCCAATTGGCTTCCAAGTGTGTGTGTTCAACGTCTACGTAAGTCGGTACCCCTTGTATGTGCGTACGTATGCGTGTCTGCGCTTATACGCAAGAAGGAATCGTGGCTTCGTCCAGGTGGAAGGGGGCACAAACTCTGTTTCGATCGTTATACGCTCGATGCTGTTACACATTACACCAACAAGATCGCATCTTCGATAAGAAATCGGCTCATTTTCCTTCCGAATGCGATTTCCATCCTACAATTTCCATCCTCCTCGACCGATCTTCCAAGTTTGACACGATCGTTGACCAATAGATTTCCAATTAATCTAATTATAATATTATCAAATGCCACATTATAGAATTATTATGCTTATTACTAAATCTCCATTATTACATTATGGAATTTTTCATCGCAATTTCGTGAAAATTATAATTTCAGGCCTATATTCGAGCTGATCGCACACACGTATCCCAAAAGAGGACATTATACTTGTGATTATAGAGTTTCGTTATTGAATAGAGAAGAATAGAGAAAGATCTATGTGTATATGATGAGTATTGCTTTATCCACGAGTAATCGAGAATCGATAATCTGTATACACACGATAATCTTATACGTTTTATTACATTCTATTACATATCCAGTGAATCGAAATTTCTCGGGGATATTTTAATTAGCACTTTCGTCTTTTCTTTATTCTACGTCATTTCCATAAAATGTGCTTATCAGGGTGGTATCTTTACAAAGATAATAAAATATGCATATTAGTGACTCGTTTGAAAGAAAGCGGTTTTACTTTTATCAGAAGTAGTTGGATTATCAATGATGGAGATACGGAAAATTCGATGAACAGAATCGTATGATGATTAAAGAAAAACATATTATTATACTTTATTTTTCGATTCATATTGTTAAAATTATTTTTCTGTTTGTTTTAGAAAAAAAATTAATTTCTCCATTTCTGGAATTATTTTGCATAGGATATTTTATAAGCTTTGAAGATTTCAAATGTTGGATACTTATTCTTTCTGCGAATTAACATTTTTCACAGTTAAGTCGTAGTGTTTACGATGATAAGCGTGACGAAACAGAATCTCGTCATAAATCTGGGATGACAAGAAGCAGAGCCGTCTGATCGTTACAAATCATGCCCGTCCTCAAAGCTGCATCTGCATGCTTTTCTTTTTTTCTTCTTTTGTTTTTTCCTCTTTCTTCTTTCTTTACGAAACGTGCACATTATTTTTCCACGAGAATGGAACACATCAACTGGTTCCGCTACTAATATCTCAATCGATATATGATCTGGAAAAAAAAAATTCGATGCCAATAAGAAATCGAGCCATCAGTCGTCATTTTATTTTTCGAATCATTTGTTCGTTTATGGAAACATTAAAGTCAAAACAATATTTAATTTGACAAATCGACCGTTGATAAGAATTCTATACAGATATATATAAAACGATACAACGTAAATTATTTCCTTGTTTGTGCCAATATAAATCACGTGAAAAATCTTTTTCCCAAAATTTTTGTTTCTTTGAAGAAATTTTCGTAACACTTTTTCGTAAACATCTGTAATTATTCCATTAATCAAGTCAATTTTATTTGAAAAAATTCTGGCGTATTGATTTGTACGTTTATTTAGGAATTATAGAGAAATAAATCTTGATATATTTTAACCGTTGAGATATGTTCCTAAAAAAATACAATATTTCTCGAAAAATTAATCGCTCTTGAAAATTTGATCGATGATAATAAAACGTATCTTAAGCAATGTAATTTGTACAAATATTAAATGGAAAGATCCGAAGACGTAGCCTTTTTTTTTTTGTTAATTTGCTTATTATTATTTTAACTTTAACATTTTTTTAAAAAACGTTTGATCAAACATTTGAAATCAAGGATTAAGTCGAAGAAGAAAAAATTGAAAAAAGAATAAAGTAAATAAATTATTATAAGTAAAAAATTATATTTTATATAAACAAACGTGGAGGAATTAATTTAATTTTTATTGATTTTTTTGATTTTGATTCTATTTATTATTCCTTAATCATTACGACAAAAAATTTATTTGGATCATTGGTTGGAATATTTTCAAACTATTTTCAAAATTCGATGTTCGGCAGATAATTTATTAATTATCGTCCAAATTCTAACTTTAGAAGAAGGATCAACGATTTATAAATAGAATAAACAAGAGTTCGTCGAAATAAAATTGCCGATAAATAAAGGAAATGAAAAAAAAAAAAAAAGAAAAAGAAGAGAGAGAGAGAAACATCGATTGTAATTTTCCGTTATAATTCTTAAAAGAAGACTGGCGTTCTCCAAGATCAGAAGACGTGGATTATCAAATTATCAGCAATTGTTTCTCGCGTGCTCGCGTACAACGCAAATTCCAGAATAACGAAGCAACCTGTGGGAATTCAGCGTGCATGCGAATTCCCCTTTCCTTCTTTTTTTCTTTCCGCCAGGATCCAAGGATCCGAGGATGTTTGTGGACAACGCCTTGTCGATAGAAGCGTTGAACTTACTAGAGAAGCCTTGGCGTATAACGTACGTATTTGCAACCGATGGTAACAGTATAACGTAATAAATGTACGGGATTGCGGTAAACGAAACCCTCAACTCGGACCCTCGTTTCTCGGATCGTGCACGTTATTATTTTAAAAGCAACAGGGCTGTGCTGTAAACGTCTCCTAGTAATATGCGATTATGGCGAATGAGTCTAAACGAGAAGGAGATTCGTTTAACTTTTATTCGCTTTTATTACGCGACTATTCGGATCTCGTTCGAAGATTGGAAACAGATATACCGAAGATATTATTATTTAAGCGTCAAATATAGGAGGAAAGTTTTAAAAGATTTTACGATTTTTTGCGATGGAATTATAGAATCTTTGGAAGATTGGAAATAGCTCGTTCAATGAAACGAAATTTCTTCGCCATTCGAATGTAAACGAGACGGTGGTTAATTGTGTATCGAATGTGTGGCGAAGGAAGGAGCGAATGGCAGAGTGGTCGTCGGTGTAAAAACACCAGTAGAAAACTAGGCAGGTAGTGGAATACGGTTGCAATGGGCAGACAGAGGGCCGGTGCATCTCGGCGTGCATAGAGAAAATATACGATCGCAGAGAAAGAGAGTACAATGGACCGTATCTCAACCCTCGGTAACCATAAATGTCTGAAAGGAAAAATCGGTCCGGCTGTCCAACCGATTATAGCTGTCGTTTTACCTTGGATTCCAGCAAGGGAGGAGGCGATTCATTCGACGGAAAAGTCTGTGAATTAACGAGCATCGGAATAAAGCGCGGAAGTGCGGCCCTTTGGGCAAGGCCTCGTGTACCAAGGCCTGATCCATGAATTATTCCGCTACGAACGGCTAACTCGATTCTACTGTCTTTCACATTTTTCCATTCAGCCAGGAAAGAAACCATCGATGGGGTTGCAATCTCTGCTTAGGAACGATCCGCGCTATTCTTTCTCGGAATTTGTATCCTACTCGTCCTCCACCGTCCGTCGTTGAATTTTTTTGCTCGATCACTCTATACCATTGTATAATGCCGAGTCGAGTAAAAATTCCATCTCATTTTCTTCGTCCATTTTCTCGAATTCCTTCTCGTGTAAATAGTAAATAAAGGGAAGAAGATCGCGCGATTCGAAAGACGGGGGAAAGAAGAGAGGCGCCAGGCGAGAATGCGAACAAAGTGTGCACCTGTTACCACCTCGATATAGTGGAGCATCGAACGAATAATGACGAGGAATAATAAAGATCGTCCATAAATCCTCCTTACCGTCCTTCCTTTTTTCTTTTTTTTTTTTTTGTGTTTCCTCGAGCCAAACGATCGTACAGGGAGTGCAAACGAGAGGGAACCCTTGCTTGGAAGGCTTCGAAACCGGGCGCAACCTATAAATAACCACCGCCTCTTTGCATCTCTTTGCGCTTCTTTTCTTTCTCTTCTGTTCTCTCCGCGCACCTCCGACGCACACGTTTTCGCGTTCAGAGACCCCGTAATTCAGGTTCCTTCGCACGTACGCGCGTACAATCAGCGCAATTAATGTCTCTACCGTGAAACGTACTCGGCCCTTGTCTTCGTACTTAGTTATAAAAATATATACGTTTCAAACCCGAAGAATAAACATGCCACGGATAGTAATCTCTTCCTTCGATTTAATTCGGCACGGTTGAGTACGTTTGCATCGGTCTACTGCGCGCGCGCGAAAGAAAATGCACTCGCGAAGAATAAACGATCGCAGTTAGAAGATAATTATATCGAAAAACGGGATTTTCAACTTTTCTCGACGAATGGAACATTGTTGATATGTTGGTTCGAAATGTTTAATCACAATGTACAGTCGGATGCATCGGAAAGCCTTTCTGAGTAAAGCGAGAAACCGCAGGGGCCGGCGTTGAAGATATGTTTAAGTGGTGGTTGCCCGTTCGAATTCATTACAGGAGCCGATTATTATTAGCCCGGATCGCAGAGTGAAAATGTGGCAATTCAACGAGAAAGAAGGAGAAAGAGAGAAAGTTTTATCAACTCCTTCGAATTAGGAAGGAGTGTGGAGCGTATTCTTTTAAGGGAGATAATAACCGTATGGAAGAAGCAGCCGTAAACAGTTAATGACTTGCACAAGTTTTATAACGATCCTCAGTGGAGGATCATACGACAGGTAATAACCATCTTATGATGATACCTTAAAATAATTCAATTTCGCTTCTTTTTTACGAGGAAAAAAATTAACCATGATTTACAATCCAGATAAAATTGAAAGTAAAATTGAATGGAATATAAAGGATAAAGCATAATGTTACGAATTTTTAAACTTTAAACAAGAATTTTGTAGCATTGTATCATTCAGTTAGTTAATCAGATATACATACATTGTCATACATAAAATATAAGATAATTTTTTTTAATATTTTGACATCTTATTTACTGTTTTTATAATATAATATTAATTCAATATAGAAATACATTTTTTAAACGTAAATTCATCAAACGTAAGTTCATCAGCGTGTAATAATAAGTAATAAGAATTAAATCAACATCTTTGCACGTTTTTTGGAAATTTCTTTTGGAATGGTGAATAAAAACGTCTTGAGAAATTACTTTACAATTCCACAAAAAAAAAACGCGAAATTTTATTATCTCATCTCGCACCTAAACGTGAAATTTACTCGTACTTAAGGTATCACGATAAAAGTTTAAAGGCTGGAGAATGGAGCGGCGTGCAAAAAAGATGCCCTCGTGAATCAACCAGAAATCACTAATAATTTTCTTACCTCCCTAATTTGCTACCTTAATGACTGGACATGATATGCAAATGGGTGAGCAACCATTCGGCCGTTATAACGTTCGGGCGACACAACCAGTCGGTCAAGTGTACATTTTTGGCCTGGTCCATTGAGTTCATCTACACGGTGGCGAAAACGTATCGTCGATGAATTATTATCGCCGTTTAAGGGGACGATAATCGGCAAAAGAAGTAAAAGTTGAATCTGAAAAAAGAAAAGGAAAAAAAATCGGTCACAGGATTTTGATTGGACGTCGAAAAGAAAGCCTTAAACGTTTGAGAACAAAAACTTTTTACTCGATCGTGAAACTGCTGCAAGTTAGAGACGCGAGTAATTACCAGGTTGAGAAAAGAGGAAACGGGTAGTCAGCCAGCCGTTGAAGTCGAGGTCGTCGTTGATTTTTGGCTAACGTATTGAAATAGGAATTATTAATCAGATTTAGGGGGAAATGTAATAATAAGTCATTGGCGCATAACCTAACATAGATAAATCAGTAATATTAAAATTTATACGGAAATACAAGATAGAGAATTTTAGATTCGTTGGTAGAGACACGTGTATGCACGTAAATGCTGTGAGTTTTAACGAACTGATAATAAATCTTTTAATACAATTACCACGTGAAATTATACGGAAAGAACAAAGATAATGAATTAACGAACGTAATAAACAATCAAGGAAGACCGCATATTTAAAAATAAAATCTGATTGAAAAAACCAAGCATCATAATCATTATAATCGTTCAAGGATATTGTGAGAAAAATATAAATTCTTTTTCCCAAGCAATATAAGATTACTATAATCTTTAATTAAACGAGCGATCCTCGAAGCTCGATAAAGAATCTTCCAATCTATATCTCGTGACTGAACGACAACTCGTTGAAATGTAACAAAAAAATTCGATATCGTTATTAATTTCGAGAATGATAACAATCGTGATGCATCATTGTGATGTGCATCATTGTGATGCATCACGCGAAAAAGAATTTGGGTCGAGGAACATTTAAGAGGAATTTGAACCTCGAGTGGCCGCCTCGCATGAATGCAATCATTCGCATTTCACGCGCCGAAGAAGGCAAGGGTTTATGTAAATTGTTTTCCCAACTTTCTGCTTCATTGTACACCGGACGGATGTCCATCCGAGAAAGAATCTACGTTCAAGAAATAACGGTTCATCCGAAAACGTTTTCAACATCGTCGATGAAGAAAACGAAATTTTGTACCAAAACATTGTTTCGAACGTATTCTCCGATTTTTTATTTTATAACTTGAGAATATAACATTAAAAATCGATTGTAATTCGTAATCTATAATAAAAATTTAAACTGCTTCAAGGTTCTACTATCGGTTCTTTTCCGTTCACGGCCGTGGCACGAACGAAACATATGACGGTCTATGCCTTACAACAACGTGAGTCCATCTTTTTTAACGTTCGTATGACCGTGGCAGTTCACGTACAATCGCATAAATCATAAAGTTAGCTATTAATTATCGGTAATTACATCTTTACGAGTAAACGCACCTCGTTCATTGCCAACGATCCATCGATTATTCTTTATTATTAATTACACAAAATTATGATACTACTAATAATTCGTATCCTCGTGCGGTATCTGGACGAGAAAATCTGAACGAAGACTCGTTTGCGTCTGGTAACGGGTCCTGAAAGAAACGTGCGGAAAAATAAACGCTACACAAGGACACGCGAGTACTATAGGTAAAAGTGTCACCAGTCCTCAGCTTGTCCACTTCTTTTATTCATTTATTCCGCGTACATCGACCCATCCTTCTTGAAAGATTCATTCAACATTCCCGGCATTTTTACCCGACGGAGTAGAAGGCGCGATCGCGATTCCTCCTTCATCAACTCGACACGCGATCGTTGTCCTCCTTTTCGCCTATGATGTTTCGTTCCAAGGTATATACGCCTTTCTATTCGATTCGCCAATGAATTCCTCTGCAAAAAGAAAAAAAAAAATCAAATCGGAATATTCTGTCCACTGATAAAGATGAAAAATTAATGGCGACAGCGAGTACAACAGTTTTATCGAAACGATCTTTTGCCCAATCCGAAACGAACGTAAAAATATTTTGTAAAGATAAATGGTGAAACGTGAAATCGGTGAATTTCCATACGTTGACAGGCGAACTGTTATCAACGACCACGTTACGTATTCTTTTTATCCCCGTCTTTCTATTTTTTTCTCCCTATTTCCTCTTTGTTGTTGCGCGGATTACTCGAATCGAGATTTTTTTTAAATAACGCTGCAGGTAAGTAAGAGAATCTTGGCGATTCGAGAAATCCTTGAATTCCTTCCACTCCTACTGCCCCTCCTTCATAGATAGAGAGACCGAACTGTTGAAAAAAAAAGCTTGGCCGAATACTTGTAGCCGTCTCTGATACGAAACGGCACCGTTAGATATGTTTAATAAATTTTCTATTTTTTTTAAAATCGCCTCTATCTTGTATCTTTTCTGCTTCTCTGTATTCTTTATCTGTTAAGTTGAGACGGCTGTTTTATAGGGAACGGAGGTCGATTGAATCACTGACTGACGCGAGTATCATTAACGATTTATAAAATTCCAACGGACGTATTTGCCAACGTAATCTTTCGCTGTATCGGATTGGAGATCGATGACGCGCATCCTCGACCGTTTATCGGGAATAATATCGCGTAGAGGATAACGAATTATTATATTAGAGATATTAGAGTTAAGAAGAAGAATTGCGATCTGTTTGAGAAATTGCATATCGCGAAAAGAGATGTTATTTTCATGAATATCAGGTCAGTGTCTCGAGCGTAGGTGTAAAGTGTAGGTATATCGTGAAAGGTTATCCTTGACCCAGAAGAAAACTGGATTCCGTGACCGAAATTATCGAACAGCGACAAGGTTCGTTGGTATTTCACGAATTAATCGTGATACGAGATATTCACAACTGGTTTGCATATGTATCGTCTGAATTCCACGAGAAACACCCTGATATCCTTGATATATCGTGCTTCCGTGTGTCAAGAAAATATGCGTATAATGTACCGGTGTCGAAAAGCCACTCTGCCAAGAAATATCAACAACGTAAACATCGGCCATTGCAGATACATCTGATTAATATAACGGTCACGAGATCACGTTTTGGATGGACGAGTCATCGTCCAAAAAGATCGATCGATTCTCTACGAATGACGAATGCATTCTTTATAGAATCCTTATTCGTTTATTCCATATCCTACGTAATATTGTTTTTACTTCCTTCATTTTTTTATAAATTTTATAATTTTATAAATTTTCCTTTTTCTCAATATTTAAACATTTCCGATTCGTTCGAATGATCTTGTACAATTTTGCAACATTCGTGAAAAAAAAAGTAAGAGATAAAAAGCATAGCTATAGCATAACTTTTTATCATAAATTTGTGTTTTGATCTCTTGAATGAGATGTAACGATGTTTTCTCGAATTTGTAGGCTTTGATTAAGAATATTTGCTACATCGAACATCGAAGGCGTATCCGAAAATTGTTGTACGCATTTGGTTAGATCGAACACGTTTTTTAATTTTATATGAATAATTATTACATATTTATATGTTGAAAAATCCTATAATAAAAAATCGAAAATCTAATGATAGAACTGAAAAAGTTTAGTTTAAAACGATAAATTTTTAACTTATAAAAATGTAATAAAAATCTAATGGATAATATCACATAGTATCACATTAACTGTGAATTAAAATTCCAATGTGTAATTTTATCCTCGAATAATTTATAGTTATGGAATTCGTTGACAAATAAAACCCAATGATTTAAGAAGATCGAGCACGATATCTGCATATTCAAACATCGAATCAGTGACGTTTGAAATCCCTGAATTATTCCATCCAAGTTGAAATAACAAAACTTTCGTGACATAATAATTAATCTCCGACGCATAATTGGATACTACATAATATTGAATTCAGGAAGAATAAAATTAGTTTCGATTACTAATTTTTTGTTTTTTTCCTCACGTATAATTGATTCATCTTTGGCGATTGATATTTAAAATTCTATTTCGATTTAATTCTCATTTTACCTCCGTAAAATTTCTAATTATTGTAACTCATATATCACAAACTTTTGTCTGCTATCCTTGATTTTGTACAAAACATAAAATTGGTATCTTTTACACGTGTAACATACTATCTACATATTCATCTTCGTTTCATCATTCTTCTCAAGACGATTATTGAAAACTTGGTATCCTAATAATTGTTCCTTGTATACAAGTGTTTCTGTTGTATCGCTCGATAAATCTCATCAAAGATTTGGCCCACCGAAAAATACTAACGGTAAAAGACTTGACGTACCCTGGCTGTTTCGAGCGGTAATAAAAAGGTACGTGTGTGTAAATTTGCCTGCGTCGTGTACGAACTGATACTGCTATCAACGACGTACAACGTTCCTGAGAATTCCAACGGGCCGTTTCGGTCGCTCGATGCCTCGGGCGTTACACTTACTATGTTAATTACACGAAATTATACTAATGCAGATTAATTTATGTTAATCGTCCCGAGAAAAATGCAAAATATTCTGATACTATTTAACGTTATTACTGCGAATCTAGCTAGAATCTTGCTAGACAGAATTACTATTTGAGTGTGGTTATTACTCATGAAACGCGTTGTATAGCAATTGCTAGATTTGTCGTGGAAAAATATGGCATTAACGGTATAAAGGGGTAGTACTGCAAGGCAATAAAGAAATGTGCAAATTAATAGACGACGCGTTCCCTTCTGTTGATTTCCCCGCTCGCATAACGTTACAGGATTCTTGTTTTAAAAGAAAATAATAAATAGATTTATCTAACGTTGCAACGATTGATGAAATTTTTTCGACTCCTTAAACAAAAAGACATCTTATACTTTAACGATACTACCTAATCGAGTCGACGACCAATTAATTGTTTGTAATAGGATTTAATTTACAAATATATTGCAATACAATTATCACATGCAATATAATTATAAAAATATTTCCACGTGGAAGAAAAATCAAATATATCATTTAATGCACATATCTGCATTGTTTGTGATACATTGATATTTTTCTAAGAAGATACAATTGATAATATGCGATATGGTGAAAGTTTCACATTTTTCATTTTAATCTTAATCTTTTGTTAAATACCGTCTAGTCAGAGCTAATTAATTTTATGACATAGTAGAACCCAAGTAATATTAAGATAAATAATTCTTACCCAATTAATCTCTTAAAAATTATGAAATCTTACTTTGAAAAATTAATATAAAATCTAATTAATCTGAAAAAAATTTCATTGAAAACAACATGTTTCAACTTTCTTCAATTTTAAAAATCCTTGTATAAGACCAAATAAGGAAATTCTCCAGACTTTCGTTCGAATCTTCTGATTCTCATAGCCGATTTTATGATTCAGATACAATTCACCGGTAAATTCAGCCTCTGTGTTGCCAGTTATTTTTTAATTGAGTTTTACTTTCAAATCTCTTGATATTTGATATCTTTCATAAATTCGAGGATAATTCTTAACGCTGACAAATTAGGCTTTTCAAGTCTATAAATATAAAAATTCTTCCTCTAGAATTTTTTAATTTAACCCATGGTAGCACACTCGACGTTGTTTATGTCATCTTGATCTCATCAGAACAATCCAATCAACGACTAATTATATGTCTGGGGGAAAAAAATTATGTGGTAAAGAGATGTTAAATTGTTTACGATCTGTAAAAGCCAATTTCATAGGGAGCATGTAGATCGAAGATAAAGAAACATAAATTAGACGAATGCAAATTTTTGAAAAAGTCCTTGGCCCAGAGAAGAGCGATCTCCGAGAGGATTTCTTCTTACCTTTTTCGTAATCCGATCGCCGATCTGTCGCTCTTGAACTTGATCTTCGACTACTTTATGCCCCTCTTTAACATCGATCCCAGAGACTCAATAAATATAGTAGTCTACGTGGGCAGTTGGAATTTATTCGCTGGCACGAAAGGGTCGTTAACCAAGTAAAACGTGCTTCGGGCATCGTTTCCATAGAGAAACATGAACAGTTAAGGAGTGAAAGAGATAAAGAGAGAGAACGGAGAATCGACGACTTTGGCTCCTTGAAAAATAATGAAACACGTTGTAATGTCCCCGCTAAATGTTGTTCCGTTGGATCTCCATGATGTCCTCAACTTCCTAGGAACGATTTCTTCGCTTGATGTTCTCCGCTTTAGGGTTGCACAAGTTTGTTGCTTTTACCTCAAGGAAAATTACAAAGTAAATATAAAATAAATATAAAATAAATAAAAAATAAATAATCTAAAGTATCTTGTATAAATTTTATCGTTGATAATTTCGTTTGAATATAATCTTTCTTTTCTTACTCTTTCTTAACGTAAAGATAATTTTTTTCATCGATTATCCCATATAAATTTTTTGCAAAGAATATTTGCATTTTTCGTAAATGGACAATTTCTCTGAAAAGAAAAAAATAAATTAATTAGTATTAATTCAGAATGCGCTGGATAATTCTAACAATTAATTACACTCTCCTTTTAAGATTCTTTTTGCAACACGAGACGGTGTAATAGCATCGTTGCGAAATTTACGCAAATGGTACACGCAATCCTCCTTCGTCTTTTTTCTTCTTAATTTCTATCACGTCTCGTGGATGCATCGCAACAATTACTCGGACTTAGAAATTTCTCTGATATTTTCCGATTATAAAACTCGAAGAGAAGGAAATTTCAGAAGTAAATAGACTCTGTAAAAGGAAACAGTGAACGTGAGACATGTGAGCACTTGTAAAAGAAATGAAAGAATATATAAGGAAGAGGAATAAAGGATTAAAAACCCAGGTACGAACAACAGGTTTCTTTTTCATAAGAAACAGCACTCTGGAGTTCATGGACAACGATCTGGAGTTGATAAAAGGTTCAACCGCTTCTTTCCTCGTCCTTTGTACGCCGTTTTTGGTTGTTGACTCTGCTTCATGAGACGCTTTTTAACAACCACGTGTTCCGTTACGAATATTACCATGCAAACATTCCAAGATGCGGAAAGAAGATGCAATTGTCTGAATTCCAATGCCGTTGCATGTGGAGAATAGAAAAATGCATCGAGTCATTAAATTAGTTCCTATTACATTAATTTTAATATAGAAATTGAAAATGATAGATCTATTTCATTGGAATCAATGACAATATAACATAAATATCAATCGTACATCAAATAATACGAATGAATCCGCAATTCACAAGTTCGAATCATAATCGATTTGCAAACTACTAATTATTGTTTCGATCGTAGAAATCTCATTCGAGATATGATCAATTGCTTGCCAAGGAAATAGCCTTTTCTTCTTCGACCTTCCTTGATTGTTCCTGTATGAGATCTTTGGCTCGGAGATCGAAATCAAAAGGATTCTATTTGTCAACACGAAGTGGAAATTAAAGAATGTTTGATACTCACCGGAAATACTGTGGCCTAACGAGCGAAAGAAAAGAAAAAAATATAAAAGATGATTCATTGTTAAAGGGTAAATTTCGTGACATTCGTTTTGTTCTACGTTTCTTCGTTACGTCACACAACTCCGCTGATTTTACGTAATTTTTCAGACTCGAACATTCGGACACAATAAAAGGTTACTTCCGTTACCATCACATTAGAGACAGACAGCAAAAGCATTTTTATTGTCAGACTGTCTATTAGAATAGAAGAAATATAAATAATTGTCTAAAAAAAAAAAAAGAATAAATTGTGTAATACTTGCATGGTAATTTGTCTAGAAATACAGTAATTTATTATATAAAAAATACTATTCTTCGTTCCCTTTTCATTTTAGTTGAAATTTAAAGATGAAAGAAGTTAATTCATCATTTACTGTATTATTAATGATTATGTTACATTAATTAATAATTATTATAGAACTGATCAAAATTTGTTTCATAAAAAAGTGAAATATTTATGCTTTGATATTAAAGTTAAACAATTTTTAATGAATTTTTAGATTCAAACTAGAATTTTATGAAAATATATAATATTTTTTCTAATTACGTTGAAATGAAATTTTCAGACTGTCGTTCGAAGATTGAGTTTAAGATTATTCTTCTACGTTTGGTAATATGCCACACTATAACCATCTAGTGGTGAATTACTGGAACTAAAAATTATGACTAAAGGACATTGTGGCGCCATCTAATGAAAAATAAGTGGAACTAAAATTAAAAATATACTTTTCTCAATTTTCGTTGCATTTCTTTAAAATTAATTAAATAAGAAATTAAAGTTTAAAATAAGAAATAATTTAATAGATTATATATAAGATAATTTATAAAATTGATTTCAATTATTTATTAAATAGATAGAAAATAAAAACTGAAAATTACTTAGAACTTATAACTATTAAATAAAAATAAATATTTAAATAAAATCATTTTCAAATTATTTTTTAAAGACTAATTTGAATCTTTAGAAATTAAAAAATTTATCTTTGAATTTAAATTTTAAATTAAAGTCAAGAAATTTATATTTTTCAATTTTAGTTCCACTTATTTATGACTAGATGGCGCCACAATGTCCTTTCTTTACAATTTTCATTTCATCTTTTCACCGCTAGATGGTTATAGTGTCGCATATCACTTAATGTGGAAGACATTTAGATTTTAATCTAATTAAATTATTTTTTAAAGTCTAATATATACATAACATATATTTTTATAGTATTTCAATTAACATTATTTGTATAATGATACAAATAAATCTTTTAAATTTTTTTTAAAAATTACATACAAAACTTCTTCATTCGTTTTTCCTTCATTTTTTTTTTTTTATATATATATAT